TTAAACAAAATTATCTTTCTATGAAGCTCGGCGAGACTGAGAACGTTTAATGGTCGATATAATTTGGTATAAATTGTCATTGTTACAGCTATGCTCAGATAAGCATAGGACAAGAAAGTGAACTTTAAAGTCGCTATTAAAAGGTAGCCATATAACCTTTAGCAAGTAGACGCTCGTATGCTAAGCTGTATAATCGGGCCAAATACATAAAATGTTTAAAAAAAAAACAATGAGATATCAATAAAGGAATAATTCATACATTGATGAAAATTCTAACTTTAGTGGATAATAAAGGTGTCATCTTCTAAAGGTTCACAGCTTTATGTCTTATGGTATGCATCTCGTCATATTTTAACAATTTTATAAAATGACAAATTAATTTTGAAAGGCATATTTGTTTATTCATTGCATTAAGTTCATTTAATGTAACATTCTGGCATACATCATTTAGAAATGTCCAATTAGTATTCTGAACGATGGACCTAACTAATATAAATTAATTTCATAACTTGATTTTAAATCCATTTTCAACTACAAATATATATTCAACTGTCACCAGCGATGTCTGTATCAGTTTAAAAGCTTATGTGTCATAATTGATATTCTAATCGAATCCCTTAAGGAATTCTTATGGGACGTTTTCTTATTTTATACCATTTAATTCGATCGACAGTTAGTCTCTAATTAACGTCCAGCCACATATGTTATAAGCCTTTATATTTAATCAGAAGAAATTGACAAATATGACCGTTTTATCGTCACCAAATTACTTGATTACAGACAAACCTGTTTAACTAGAAAAGTTTTAAGGGATGAGAGGTACTTGAAAAATAATTTTGTAATGTGTTTTACCTTTCAGATTAGTAAAATATTTCTTTGATTTTGAGATTGGTTTTGTTTACGTTTCCACAAAAGGTGCCAAAATAAACTAAATTTCGAAAATATTTGAGATATTCTCTCAATTTTAGTTGTATTGAATGACATGGACAATAGACGAACAATAAACATCAGCACAATAATAGGTGATTGAAATTAGGTAAATGAGTAGGCCATATCAAATGAAATTCAGGTGTTTGTTTATTTTACCATCTTCTGCAAGTTTGAAAAAAAAAATTCCAAAATCAAGGAAACTTTTTTATTTTTCTGAAATATATGTTTCTAGTTCCTGCCATGCCTTAAAATGTTTTTAGGTGAACAGGTTTGCCCATACTCAGTGTAAATTTTGTGGTGTAAACACGGCCATATTTGTTAATTCCTTCTGACGACCCTTAAAAACTATTTTTTTTGTTTTAATTTAAACTGAATCATAGGTTTTTAGCGTCTGGTGTATAAAATTATAATCCTAGTATCTATGTTGAGTTTATTTAATTAAATAGTTTGACTGCATATGCCAATGAGAGGATCCAGTATATTATGTTGGTGACACACTCCGACATGATTTGCTTATGTATTTATACATCCCAAGCACGGTTCTTCTTTTAAACCCGTTTATTTACCAAGACGGAAAAGGTGATAACCCGTCTACTTCAAACACAAATTATATGACACACTTTAAATAAAGAAAAGCTCTATAAAGCCCCATACAAAATCAGAAGGTTGATGCCAATTTTAATCAAGGAAAGCTAAATAAGAATTTTACTTCTCTTGCAAACGCAAATTCTTCCATGTGACGACTATCCAATTAAGTCCCGTTAATGTTAATATTGGTCTTTGATATAAGGTCTTTTTTTTATTAATGAGCTAGTGTAATGGAAGTTATAAGCAATCGGTGTATGCAGTTTCCTTCCTACAACGAACCTTACTTACCATCAAATATCCTCTACACTAAAACGTAGAGTTATACAGTGTACGTAAACATGAAAAAATTCATACATCTTGGTTTTTAATTCCTATAAAAATGATAGATTATTGAAGAGAAAAAATCTATTGGTAAGTTACAAAACCTCTTTGAAGTTCACTTATAAATCACTTAACATTTCATCATTGTGTCTATAACTAAAAAGCAATCGAATAAACCCATAACCACTAATTTGTAATAAAAACTTCGATGATGGATGACTGAACGGTTTTTGATTTTTTGGTTCAAAAAATTACTTACAAAACTTTATTTTTGGTGTAATGTAATTTATCAAATGTAACTTTAACAACTTTTCCAGTGTTATTTAAATCTACGTAGTCCTTTGACTAGTTTGGATAAACATTTAGAAAGTCAGTTTTATTAAAAGCTTGATTAAAAAGTCAACATTACAACAAGAAAAGAGAAAGAAATGAAAACAAGTTAGCAATAGAAAAACCACAAGTCCAATGCAACAGACAATACGTTTACTGTAAAGACAAACAATAATAACAAAACATTACACAGACAACGTTTTAGAAAAAAGATTTATCTACACGAACCTCACTTAAAACGGAGATTTCTCCGGAAATACAAAAAACGGTAAGATAACATTGAGAATGGAAACGGGGAATGCGTCAAAGAGACAACAATCCGACCAAAGAGCAAAAATCAGCCCAAGGCCACCAATGGATCTTCAACACAGAAAAATCCCGCACCCGGAGGCGGGCTTCAGCTGGCCCCTAAATAATAATGTATACTAGTCCAGCGAGACTTTTTAATTTCTTTATTAATTGTTTTTAATTTTTGGAAAGTTGGATTATCATGAATACCAAAAGAATAGTTTGCTTATATTGTGACAGATATGTATATACGAAGCATGCTTCTTGATAACTCAAAATTTGCTCTCACCAATACTGCAACTTCTTTGTTGGCATAGTATTGTTTGTTTTTATAGTGATTACGATTATAACACAATGTTGACTGTTGTACCCCTAATTTTGACATTTTTACCCATTATATAGATATGAGAAGATGTGGTATGAGTGCCAATGAGACAACTCTCCATCCAATTCAAAATTTATAAAAGTAAACCATTATAGGTCACAGTACGGTCTTCAACACGGAGCCTTGGCTCACACCGAACAGTAAGATATAAAGGGTCCCAAAAATTACTAGTGTAAAACCATTCAAACGGAAAAACCAATGGTCTAATCTATATAAAAAACGAAAAACGAGAAACACTTATGAACCACATCAACAAACGACAACTACTGAACATCAGATTCCTGACTAAGGACAGGTGCAAACAAATGCAGCGGGTTTAAACGTTTTAATGGTACCAAACCTTCACCCCTTTTCTGAAACAATAGTGTAATATCACAACATAGAAAGACACACTATAAAATATCAACTGAAATAGCTTAACTCAATCAAAGGACATATTAACACTAGTGAACATACACTGAACAAATAAATTTGACCTATGATACAATGTAAATACAAAATAAATAAACTAAGGAAAGAATAATAAAAGTAACATGCTATTATGTCTGTTTGTTTTGTTCACACATTGTTGTCAATGTAATGGAATTGTATGCGACTGTCATACAAGTGAGAGGTTAAGCTAGCTATAAAACCAGGTTTACTCCACCATTTTCTACATAAGGAAATGCCTGTACCAAGTCAGGAATATGACAGTTGTTTTCCATTCGTTTGATGGTTTGGGCTTTTGATTTTGCCATTTGATAAGAGACTTTCCGATTTGAATTTTCTTTGGAGTTCGGTATTTTTGTTATTACTTTTTTCTTAAGGATCTTGAATTTGAAAATATTAAATAATATCCGTCGCATAATCTCCGTAAATTAATATGTCAAATAGCAATAATAATCAGGCTTCCAAATCCGGTTGAAGAAGCAGAAGGAAAATTTGGATCCGCATCAATATGAACGTAATAGAATCAGAATCATAGGTAAAACTGGATCTTCCATGTCAATTGCATGCACCACCCCAATTCCACTAAATAGCGAATCATGTGCACAATATGATGAGACTTTTAAAAAAACACTAAAAATCTATGAACTGCAATGTTTGAAAATTCTTGTTTTGTATTGAATATATCCACCAAGTTGAGTCGATATGAAATGTAACGTTATTGTTCAAGATGTCCTAGAACCTGAAAGTGCTAATAACAACAAGAAAAGAGAGTATGAATTTGCCTAACACGACATATTTCGTACTATAAAATGTGAGGATTTAGAACTCTGGTCAGTCCTTAGGTTATTCATTAGGTTGGAAAGCCTACTGAAGGTAAACAAATTCTTATCAAAGTAGCAGTAGACTCAGGCATGAGTAATCACAAAGTATTGGGTAGGTTTAATCTTTTATGAAGAAAGAATATTGATGGGCACAGCATTCACAAATCGAATAATATTTATATTACTCAGGATTTAAAACTAAAAAAGAAAGGAAAATATTACCGAGTAAGAAATTAGCATGAGAGAAAGAAGAAATTGACAAATAATTCTATCCTCTTAATATTTAGAGGGAAAACAGTTGATAGAAAAGAAATCTCTAGTCATGCTAGTGTAACACCTGGAACGGGTGTTAGTGAAAGTGGCAGTTCTGAAAGCACTGTCATTTTTGGAAGATATACATCCTATTGAAAAGGTTAAACATTTTTACGAATTTTCATGTTGACTCTTGTTCCAGTTCATATGTTTCTTATAATTTTTCAGAATTCTTATTTTAATAACATCGATTGTAAGGTAATAGATGAATCATACGTCTTAAGTGATGAGCTCAACATTGTTACTGATAGTACTACCAAAAGTATAGTCGAAACAAGCATTATCTTTTCCAAAAAACTATCAGTCTCTTTGCAGTATTAATTGATAAGTGTTTATCAACAATGTATTATACAGCACAGTCATTATTTTTGAACATTTGCACACACATCGATGATTTTTTCAAGCAGTGAAAGGCTTTTAGTTACTATATTTAAATTGATAAAAAGATGATATAGAGATTGGAGGTAATGTATATTAAGTGAATGTTTATATTTTCCAACAATTATTTTCCTATTGAACGTGTTACAAAACAATTTTTCAATTAATACATAATGTTCACATATTTGACACTTAAACAATATAATAAAACACACATCTTGTAATGCAAGACTTTATTAAACCAATAATTTAACAATTAATTTGAGTTCTATTTTGAAAAATGTGGAGCTCTTGAAGTTATATTTGAAGAATCAATATATTGGACAACATTATCATAAATAAGAAGGTTTCTTAGTGTAGATTCCGAATTACAAACTGATTTTTCTATTTTGAAGAAATATTTTATTAATCTACGAATAAAGACATCAAATTGTCTCAACCAATCAACGTACTAGAGTCCAATCAGGTAGCAGACGGCAACTCCGATAACTGTGCATCGCTCAACTCATAATACCGTCTCCAGGACACGGTAAATAGTCCATAGAACATCGATAAACTAGAAAGAAATGTAAATATATTATCGATTAACCAAGTTAAGTGCATGTATGCAATGCTGATCAGTTACGAAACAAAATTGACGACCCTCAAGCACAACTGCAATTTGTAATACCAGATTTTGTTTAGGTTCATCACAGAAGTGTTGCCCAAAATAAACAGTGATATTAATTGTATTTTCGCACTGTTTGATATTGAAGGTTTATTATTTACTATTTTGCGAGTAAAGATACTGGAAGGGGGGTAATTATTTATCAAAAATAGCTATATGATTCATCCAATGAAAATATGAAGTTTCAACGTACTTTACGGTGATGCTTCTCGGCGTAACTTAGTAATAAACAATAAGACGGTGTTATTAGGCACAATATACAGACGCCCAGAACTCGTATACAAATATAAATAGACTTTTAAATGTAGAGTGGCATGTGCATAATTAAGGCGACAGTAGTTTACTAATGTTCAAATCTCATAAGAAGTGACAAATCAAGGTAACAAAAACTGAGGGAATCTCAAAAGGAGCGAAACCGGTTGCATCGATAGAGTTAGTGCCCCCTGCTATACATGCATCGCCCGCCATGCGAATCAATACACAGTCAAAATGTCACAATCGGGAAAAGGAGGCAATCGGTTAAACTACAGACTAGACGACTATACTGGTATATAAAGATCTAAGACTGTGAAAACATGTCGCGATTGAGTTGCAACTCCGACACATCGTATCGGTCAACTAATTCGTGATGATGACCGTCGATTTCAGTCTTTCTTCTTCATAACTTAGTTTTTGTGGAAGGAGTCTATTCCTGTTAACGAAGTTTGTATAATGTAACAATGATTTAATCCAAAGAGACGAATATACGTGATATTGATTGGAATATGCGATTTACATCCCATTCTTAAGAACATTATGAACATATATGTAAACTAGGTTTACGTGGTAAGAACTCTTGATTTAGTTATTACAAAAGATGAAAACAATATCAACAATATTAATATAAATGCTCCACCAGGTCTTAGTGAACATGCTACTATTACGTTCGACTTGTATCATTGAACATGAAACTGGCAAATTGAAAAATAAATATTCTAAATATGACTTTTATAAATTTTATGAAGATATCAGTCACATTGCTGGAAATAATGTTTTTAAAGGAAAAGATATAGATTAGATGTGGAAGTTTTTTTAGGTGAATCTAAACATAAACAATGTGTTGAAAAATTTAAAAGTTAAAGCTAAACCTGGATACTATCCTTAATCGTTGTGGCTTACATTTTACTGTCCTAGTAAAATACATGGTCAATAAACGTATCTATTTAACGGGCAGTAGATTGCGTTTTATAGAATTCTTAGAAATCAGGCAAGTGAAAATGTTCTTAAAGCAAAAAAGGAATGTGAGAAGTTGGGCGGTGAAAAGTAAACTGCTGAAAACCAAAACAATGTACATGGCATTGGCGGCAGAAATTTTGAATCACCACTAGAACATTTTGTTATAAAACAAGACACACAGTTGAAAAGTATTTGTTTTAACTGAAAGTATGTAAGTCTATGGGGTCAGATAATATTCATCCTTTGATTGTGAAATGATTGGCAAATACGTTTTCAAAAGCTTTGATTTTGATTTTTTTAAATTCCAGTCCACCAGCAGTGGTATCGACCCAGTGCTTGAAAAATAAAAATAACATTTTGTAATTTCGTTACGTCCGAAGCTCTCTTCTGTGTTTCCTTTCAGGAACGCTCATGCCCTAAAAATTGAAAGCCACGTATATATAGTTACCTAATCACATGAAGTGCTATATGATCACAAGGGGCCTAAGAAAATAACCAAGTCCATCTTAGGTCAAATTTTCCCGAGGAAACCTTTGTTGTTTTTTGAAATTTCTCAATTCATCAGCGGAAAATTTAATTGCAAAAGTGTTTTATAAATCATGTCAGTACTAAGCTGATGATACCGTAAAAAAAGGCGGAAGATAAAAATTAATTCTAAATAGATATGCAAAATCTGACTCAATCCTTCTATGCCTAGGACAGAAAAAAAAGTGTTTCTTTTGATATTAACATTTTAATAACAATATTATGAATAACTATATTTTGTTAAAAAGAAAGATTAGATGGACTATGTGTTAGTGTGTTTCCTCGGCATATTTAGCAGCTATATAATTTGGCTTTTAATATAATAGTGATAAAAATCACCAAAATTACATTAACATTTCTTGAACAACTGTATTGACCTTCAATGCTTCTAACCATAAAATCATTACTCATTGACATTTACATTACAAATAGAAAAACCATGACATTAGAAAAACTATGACAATTGATTACATTTTTGTGAAATTGATTGTAAAACACGAACAATCAATTAATTTTAAATGAATGGCTTATATCATCGAAAAATCGGTGACTTCAACACCAGCGCCCGTACTGTTCATTAAAGTCATATGATACTTCAAATTTTTTTAAAAAATGGATGAATATGTTATATGTACTTAAATGGCTAAGTTTTACTATAAAACACTTGTTTATAGAATGTCTATTTAAAGAAATACTCGATTTTATGCAAATCTTCAGAAATCTACCGTTATTGAAATATTGTCTCCTCGTGTTCTTATTTACCGACAGCTTTTCCGTATGTAGTGACCCCTGACGTTAGAACTTCAGCAATCGCACAGTGCAAGTGTGAAGGAAATAACGTTAACGGAAGGAAATAACCTTGACGGAAGAAACCAACGTGGAAAGAAGATAGTATTAACGGATTGAGAAAGAAAAAAACATTATTAAACCAAATCTTTTAAAAACAGTCACGACTAAGTTTGAAAAACAAGAACGCATAGAAATATTAAAAAAAAAACAAATAAACATCACTCTATAAGCTCAATTATTATACACGTGATCTGTGTTGATTGTTTATCAATGTCAAGGTTGGTAAACTTCGGTATCAAAATCCGAAATTTAATTACCAACCAAAGTTTTAGATAAACAATCACCGAAAGAAATATAATAAGTGTAAAAAATAAACATACACAGAGAAATTGTTTAAGTATATATGCATCCTTTGGTTCAATAATTGCATAAACATTATTATCAACATTTTAAATCGTTTCATATTACTTAAACCAACGTCTCCTTCATTCTGTTCTGGGAATGAGAAAATCATTAACAATGATTTATAATAATTTGGAACAAAAAACATTTATTTTTTTCTTTTATTATTATAATTTCTTCAATATTATAATTTTATTTTGCTGAAATGATGGTTGTCGGAACATTTTTGTGGACGTTATGGGACATACGCCATATAAAGACGCATTGTGAAAGCTAACCCTAAACCGTTTACCCGAAAGCTTTCATAATCAGTAGGATTGCTTGTCATAATGTGACCATACTACGCCGCCAATTTTATTTAACAATTATTGTGAGAGTTAATGGACTTTTAACATTGTTTGTCTTGCTTTTGAATGCACATAGTGAGATGTTTGTAGTTTTGAAAGTGGTCCCGGGGAGGAGAGCATTTCGCTACGGTGTAGCAGTCTTTTCTTTATAAGCGTTGCTAAATTTTATTCTATATTAATGAATTTTAAAACATTATCCCCAGAAAACAGACTTTATCGAATATTGGCACTATTTGTTATTGATTGATTGATTGATTGATTGCTGTCGTTTACATATTTTACCATATTTTTATACCTCAGTCAATCCTTGGGGTTTTTCTAAATGTATTTCATGTGGAATTTAATAGTTGAAAGAAATATCAAGACATGAAAACATTCAAATTAAGAGACTATTTTTCATGTTTCCAGAACATCTCCAGTGTGCGAAATTGTGGATTATACATCATAATACACATCAAAATTATATAAAAAGATGAACAAAACCTAATGTAGCTTTCCTCTGGAGAGTCTGAGCAATCATTCAGTAAATATTTCTAAACTTTTTTAATTTATTAACTTTTGAAACAGGCGTACTAATTCATGCTTGTGCAGCACAAACTATATGGCACTTGTAATAATATGCCACACATTGTTAAAATAACTGTTTACATATGTTTTTCTTTACTTTTAACAAGTTTAAAAAAAATATGCACAGCACCATGACCAAGTACAATACTAAAACAATCACACACAAAAATGACAAAATAGACCACAACAGTCTACAGAAGAAAGTTGGAAAATTGAGCAGTATACGAACACCGTCGACAATGGATCGCACTCGTGTAACCTGAAGGTCGAGTAAAAAGTGCGAAAATGGATGAGCACCAAAGAGACTGTGGAAAAAGCAAGGTAACAAAACATAAATAATTTATACACAAATATTTTCGTTAAAGGACAAAACAAATAATCGAAACACATGCAACTACATACAAGGTCCTTGACACATTGACATGTAGCAGGGTTACAATAGTTACTTCAGTATTCAACCCATCCTAATTTTATTTTGATTAGAATAATTTGAAAAAAGGTATATTAACAATTTCCTGGCTTCCTTTCCCCATTGTTGCTTCGCGTCGCTGTCGAACATTGAGCTAGAATCCAAGGCTGTAAAGAAGAAGATGCTGTTAAAACCCGTTAGAAAAAGGCACTGATTAAAATATCGGTGAATTACACAAACACAGACTCAAGAATAAGAGGAGAAAGATACCAAAGGGAGATCAGACTGCGTGAGTCGAAGAGAGACCGACAAAATTTTGGCAAAAAAACAAAAGACGAAGAAAAGACCAACAATATACAAAACATCATAAAGGATCAAAAGTGAACAATAATTAATAGTTGTAGTGAGTAAAAGATTAATTTTTTTCTACCGCTGCATAATAAACGATCTTTTCGAATTGTTTCCTTTGAAAAATATATTTAAATATAATCAATGATGTAACGCGTGCCGCTAGATCCTTACATTTATATTAAATAAATGCCGGGCAAATGAATATATTGAAAATGTAAATTTCTGTAATAAAATTCAGAAATTGTAAATTATAATTTTCAAATCTAAAAAGATATATTCTTTGTGACATATTATCATGAAATTAATGTGTTATTAATTTGATTTTTTATATCAATTTAAAGCCGTACTGATGAGTTCAAAAATATATCCGAATTCAAATTTTGATTTAAATGTAAAAACCAAATGACGCGTCATAAATCACGTTTAAAACTTAATTTTCAATCTAAAACTTTACAATCTTGCATCTCTGGTTCCATTTTATATGTTTATTTACCTCGCTCCATGAGATTTTTTAATTCTGATCACAAGATAAGCACCACATTAACTCAAATCTTACTTATATGGTTCAGTAAAATTGAATGGAGAGACTCTGCAATAACTTCTTCATTTAAAATGTAATAAAGATATCAACTCGGAAAATTGACAAATTACAAAATTCCTATGAAAATAAATGGGTACTATCATTTTGGTTTTATTGGGTGAAATTATGCTTGTATCAATTGAGGTAGACTCATTAAAATTATTTCTTTCGATAATAAAAACACTTACCGTGTCCAACAGTAAAAGATCAATGAAAACTGAATTTAGACAACGATGCACTTCGGCACCCATCGATGATTATCAATAAAGATATTTTTAAATTAACTCTGATGTGTGCATCAAATGCTAGAAATTGTAAGATGCATGTGAACTATTGTATTTTTTAACGTAACTTAATTTGATCCACCTAAAACGCATTTATAATATTAAATAGCAGTTATTACCCACAATTCAGAGGAGTCAACAATGAAACAAACTATGAGTGTTGCATTATTTGAAATTATATATAAAATCTTCCTCGTAAATTTATATATTTTATTATCAAATGAAGACATTATTAAATAATTGAGTTTTAGACTAAATAATTTCCTTATAGTGTCTTAGTGTTGAATTTCAAACATTTTCAATTTTACGACATTCATCAAGTTTGTACTTGACTTATGTTTTGAAATTATGATAAATGTGCATTAAGATGATGTAATTTGTTGTTAATCAATTTCATTTAATGGCGGTGTTTACGATTTCGGCATTAATTACTTGTCTTCTGAATGACTGGTTTTATAACACATGATTTTAGCAATATTGCCTTGAACCCTTTTTATGCATTTTTAACTGATACTTTTATAGTAAATCAATCGATTCACGTAAGTTGTTCGTTTTTTCATCTTTCGTGAGGAAATTCGTTATTATTTCATAAATCGTTTACTTTTTAATTAGTCAATTTCAATACCAGTTCTAAGAACCAAAGATGTCAAACTCGCTCCTACTTTTATATTTTAGTTTAATTGGATCATAAAACGATGACAACTTTTGACTTACGATCGCTTCTGTCCATTCAACTTGAACTCAAAATGGATAAATCATAACGCCTGCATCATCAATACTCGATGAAACCTGTGAGTCTGGTTGGTATACTGTTCGGCAGAAAGGAAAGTAAAGTGTTGACAGTCTATTCAACGTGTAAAATGTGAATGCTATACAAGTGTGCAAGTGTGCCACCATGTACATATGTAGTTTCTTTTGTTACCTTTTCTGACATCGGACTCAGACTTAAACTGATATTTACTGTGTGTATTGCTGTGTATTGTTTATTCTACATTAGCTAGAGGTATAGGAGAGGGTTGAGATCTCACAAAACATGTTTAACCCCGCTGCATTTTTGCGCCTGTCCCAAGTCAGGAGCCTCTAGCCTTGCCTTTGTTAGTCTTGTATGTTTTTTTAATTTTAGTTCATTTATATGTTTTGGAGTTAAGTATGACGTCCATTTTCACTGAACTAGTACACATTTTTGTTTAGGGGCCAGCTGAAGCCCGCCTCCGGTTGCGGGATTTTCTCGCTGTGTTGAAGACCCATTGGTGGCCCTCGGCTGTTTTCTGCTCTTCGGTCGGGTTGTTGTCTCTACGACACATTCCCCATTTCCATTCTCAATTTTACAAAATAACAATGAAATAAAAGAAGAATGCGTCTTAGAACACGAATGTCCTCGCTCAAGCTTGCTTTTCAAACGAAAATGGGACGGACGGAAAGACGGAATAACGGACGGTCAAGGGTAACACTTAATGCCCCCTTCGCCTTGCGGCGGGGACATAAAAAAACGTCATCAACAACGAGAAGCTTAATGAGGGCACCTATATCAAAGACCAGAACAAGTTTTACTTTAAAAAGGATGGACTATTTATTGCAATCACATTAATATATAACTACTTGTGGTATCTATGAAGACGAAATACATCATTTTTTTAACATAAGGGTTAGCTGGGACTGCAATAACATTAATATATAACTACTTGTGGTATCTATGAAGACGAAATACATCAATTTTGTTAACAAAAGGTTAGCTGGGATCTAAATTTCTGGACATCTAATTTTCTGGTGGCATCAGTAGCTGTCCAAGAAATGTTTGCTTAGCCAGTGATTCATCGTGTTGGAAGACCTTAGACGTTCTCGCAGATCATGTAAATAGGAGACTAATTAAATCGCTTTAAATATTTACGTTTTTGTTCGTAACTGTCCATTGTACTTAATTTATATTTTAAAGAAATCTATGCTTTTGTATAAAATGTTGTTAAAAATGGACATGGATAAAAGGAAATGTGAGCTAAACGTCATTACCACTGCAGCCCAACACCAAAAGTTAACCAAATTGATGTAGAATTTTATAGGTAACTTAAAGGACTTCAAACTTAGATTAAGATTAAGGCAAGCGCCTAGAAAAGTTGCTTTAATATAAATTCAACAGTCCAAGTATCTTTCACCAACATCATATCACTAAAGAGGAGACAGTGAAGCTGTTGAAATTCTGGGAACCGGTGCTCTCTTAAAAGCTATTAAAGGTAAAATGGATGTTGATTTTTTCCAGAACAAGCCAGGATAAGATATTGTTTTTACAAAATGACTGTCACTTTATCAAACTTACAGACAAAAGGTAAAATGCATGTTAATTTTTTTTCAGAACAAGCCAGGATAAGATATTGTTTTTCAAAATGACTGTCACTTTATTAAACTTACAGACAAAAGGTAAAATGCATGTTAATTTTTTTTCAGAACAAGCCAGGATAAGATATTGTTTTTACAAAATGACTGTCACTTTATTAAACTTACAGACAAAAGGTAAAATGCATGTTAATTATTTTTCAGAACACGCCAGGATAAGATATTGTTTTTACGAAATGACTGTCACTTTATTAAACTTACAGACAAAAGGTAAAATGAATGTTAATTTTTTTTCAGAACAAGCCAGGATAAGATATTGTTTTTACAAAATGACTGTCACTTTATTAAACTTACAGACAAAAGGTAAAATGCATGTTATTTTTTTTTCAGAACAAGCCAGGATAAGATATTGTTTTTACAAAATGACTGTCACTTTATTAAACTTACAGACAAAAGGTAAAATGCATGTTAATTTTTTTTCAGAACAATCCAGGATAAGATATTGTTTTTACAAAATGACTGTCACTTAATTAAACTTACAGACAAAAGGTAAAATGCATGTTAATTTTTTTTCAGAACAAGCCAGGATAAGATATTGTTTTTACAAAATGACTGTCACTTTATTAAACTTAAAGACAAAAGGTAAAATGCATGTTAATTTTTTTTCAGAACAAGCCAGGATAAGATATTGTTTTTACAAAATGACTGTCACTTTATTTAACTTACAGACAAAAGGTAAAATGCATGTTATTTTTTTTTTCAGAACAAGCCAGGATAAGATATTGTTTTTACAAAATGGCTGTCACTTTATTTAACTTACAAACAAAAGGTAAAATGCATGTTAATTTTTTTTCAGAACAATCCAGGATAAGCTATTGTTTTTACAAAATGACTGTCACTTTATTAAACTTACAGACAAAAAGTAAAATGGATGTTGATTGGTTTTTTTTCCAGAACAAGCCAGGATAAGATATTGGTTTTTTTTTTTCAAAATGACTGTCACTTTATTAAACTTTCAGACAAAATAACCAATAACTACGCATGCATGAAATTGCAAAATATAACAAAAACCCAATGGGACAATGAATTGATAGTTTTATACCCCCAAGTTTTATATTAAGTTCGATTTTAGTAACGCCAATCATGTCGGTGGTGGTGGGTAAGAACATAAGGCAATGTTTTTAAACTAGACATCACAAAGTCTGGTGCTGTGGTTTTATAAGAGCGATTTTTTAAAAAGTTCACGGACGAAAAACACCAAGTGATGGCATTGGCGCTCATGAGGCCCAAGCTCAGAATACATGACATTTCTCACATGATTTTGATTGTTATAAGATAGAATTTTCCCCCTATTGTTGTAATTCTATTACACTTGGACAGTTTAAATGAAGTAGAATTTGTATGAATGAATTCAATAAATACATTTGTATCTCACTTTTTTATTTTTGAACTAAACTAGTTTGACGCTCAGGTTGAAGATCAAACAGACCAAATTTCATAAAAATTGTTTGAAATTAAAACAGATGTAGATTTTGAAAGATATAAACGTATTAACAACCCATTAAACATATGATATAATGGTTACATCAAAGAAAAGATTTAATTAAATGCTTAAATACAGAAAAAAAAATCAAAAACTTTCAAATAATCTGTAAGTCATGGGTTATTTAATAAACTTTATGACTTCCTTGGATTTATATAGACCCACAAAACAATTAACACGATTAGCTTCTACTTAAAAGTGCATTCTACTTGAACAAAGTTGATTTTTATTTATAGGTTACCACTTGGTCAATATGCCTTCTTTCACTGTTGTCATTACTTGTCGTCGTCTCAGATTTAACATTTTTGAAAAATGCATTTTGTCTTTTTTTGTGTTTTTGTTTAGGTTTTTATGAGTTTTCTTTTGATCTGATGAGTTAAGCCCTTTTCAACTGATTTTTATAGTTTGTTCTTATGTTGTGCTGTTACATCACTGTCCCAGGTAAGGGAGAGGGTTTGGCGCCAGCAAACATGTTAAACGCCGCCACATTCCGAGTCATGAGCCTGTAATTCAGTGGTTGTCGTTTGTTGCTGTATATCTTTTTTTTTTTCATTTATCGTTTTGTACATTAATCTGGCCGTTTGTTTTCTAATTTTCATTGTTTTACATTTGTCATTTCGGGGCCTTTTATAGCTTACTATGCGGTATGGGTTTTGCTCATTGTTGAAGGCCGTACGATGACCTATAGTTATTAACTCTATGTCATTTTGGTCTCTAGTGGAGAGTTGTTTCATTGGCAATCATACCACATCTTCTTATTCTTATGATAACCCTTTTTGAATGACTACGTCATTTGTGACTGGCTTTGGTGCAACCAATCTTAGTGAAAAATATATCTGCAGTTTCTGTCAGGCAACCAAACAACAAGATCTCCATTATTTAAGCAGAAACCAAATCCGGATAAAACACCAAATACCAATACATGTCTTTTCAATTCTAGTGGATCCTTTGGTAACAACATCTACCTTTGTTAGTACAGATTCATCATATATGCAAAAGTATGAAGTAAAAGTACATGTAAATATATATTATTGAGAACTGAAATATTTAATTGAATTGAATTGTAATTGATTTAATTATTATCTAGGGTCTTCATTAAAACAAATTGGGCCCGGTTGAAGTAAATTTTAACAACACAATGTTTAGCTCTCTTTTAAGAAGTCATTCCTCAATTTAATACATCTTATTTCTGTTTTAATACCTTAATTTACTTTTC